AATAAATAAACAACAGATCGATAATAAATAAACAACAGATCGATAATAAATAAACAACAGATCGATAATAAATTAAAAAACAGATCGATAATAAACAACAGATCGATAATAAATTAAAAAACAGATCGATAATAAATAAACAACAGATCGATCCTGGCTGAGTCGTCGTCTATATAAACGTCGAGCATCGATTCCGTCGGGTTTGATCGCTTTGGTCGTTGCCGGCTATTCTTCCATCGATTGGTTGCGTCTGCACGTGGATCCAACATGGCGGCGACTCAAACAACGAATCCCTCCCAGCTGCTCCCGCTCGGTTTGTACTTTCTCTGTTTCTGTTGGTTTCAAACACACACACACACTCACACACAGTTGTGTATGTGTGTAAGTCTCGTGTGTTTGTTTTTGTTGAATCTGCGGGTTGAAGATTTAAAATGTCGGCGTTGTCTCGCTCGCTCGCGGTAGCATTACGCTAGCAGCTAGCTAAACTCAGCGACAGAATGAATGTCCTCCTGTTCCACATGTTGTTCAAGTGATGAATCATCTGCATCGTTCAAAACTCATTTAAATCAAAGTGTGTCGAGTTTTGTCAGCTCGTGGTTTCGTCTCGTGGTTTCGTCTCGTGTGTCAAACTTTAGCTTCGTCCTTTACATCGTCCACATGTTTAGCATCAATCTGCATTTCCCTCAAAATAAGTGTCTGTATTGATGGTGGAGTGAATCTGTGGGCAGCAGCGAGTGCAGGAGATGTTATAACAGGTTAAACTAGCTGACAGTAAAGTCTCTGTGCACTTTATTAGGAACACCTTTCTCTAACCGGACAGTTCAACTTTGGTCTTTGAAGGAAACAAACCCTCAAGACTTCATTTCTGCAGATGTGTCATCTTTACAGCCATGATGCTCATTTTTCTGTCATGTTTGACCTGAAGCTCTTGACTTCTATCTGCGTTCACTTCAGCTGTGCTGCCACTTGTTGGGCCGAGAAAAGCTGGTGTACAGGTGTTCCTAATAAACTGCTCAGAGACTGTACACAGCAATAAATCTAATATAATGCTAAAAAACAAACTTCTTATTGCTCTGGTGGATAAAATATGTGTAAATATGATATTAAATGAACTGTAGTACAAATGTTTGTCATTTACATCAGTTACACATAGTTGTTATTTAGCACTAATGTATTGTATCTGCGATTAGAAGATATTGATTGAATTGTCCCGGATGTGAACATTTACATATTTTTACATTTGTAAGAATTTGTGATGAGCATTTTTTCTCTTCTTACAGAGCAAATGATTTCCTGGATGTTTTGAAAAATAAAAAAAAATTGAATTAATAAAGAAAGCAGCCATTTGCTGCAGCCTTGATTATGATATAAAGCACTGATCTGTAATGAAGTGCAGGAAGATAAAACTACGTTCAAACATCAGACAAACTCAGAAGTGATCATTTGAATTTCTCTTTCAGAGCTTGTGGACAAATGTATCGGCTCCCGGATTCACATCGTCATGAAAACGGACAAAGAAATCGTCGGCACCCTTCTGGGTTTTGATGATTTTGTCAGTATCCTTTCAGTCGTCATGGTTACAGTCTCTTTAAAAATGTAAAACACACTTTCTCCAGTATTTATCATCGTGGGTGGTTTTTACTGTTTGTTCTGAATTCTGCTCCAGATTTTGTCCTGAACTTGTTTCCTCAGATATGGTCTTGGAGGATGTGACGGAGTTGTAAGTGCATGTCTCAAGCTCAGTTATTTCTGAATTCAGCTGCTGTTGAGTTAACTCATCGTAAATATCTGTTTCAGTGAAATCACACCAGAGGGACGGAGGATAACAAAACTGGACCAGATTCTCCTGAACGGCAACAACATCACAATGGTAAGAACATTTCTAGAATCCGATTCATTGAACCAGCTGAAAACAGACGACCTCTTAAAACCCATGTTACACAAAAACAAATAACTAATGAGAGTTAAGAAATATTTTGTTTGTGTTGATACTTATTTATTTATTTGTAATTTAAGAAAAATGTCCGTACTTCTGTCGCAGTTGGTTTATTTACCAACCTTTCAGCTGAGGTTGGTTTGGAGT